TTTCTTAAGTTGCAGCGCGTTGAGCTCTCTCGGCCACCGTATGTTTCTCTAAGATGGTACTTATGACCAGACTGAGATTTTCCCTTGACAAGTGCATGTACTTAAGGTTCCCAGGTTTTCCCCTGACAAGTGCATGTACTTAAGTAAGTACTAAACTTTGGCACTTAACTCGTCCAATTAGATTGTTGTTACAATATAAAAAACTATATTCTTGTGCTTCTAAGTGAATCACATCTCTTTTATTCTCTTTTTTTTCTCCTGTTATCTATTGCCTTCATAGACACTTTGAATGCGATGCGTTTTGTGACAGCTGTAGCAGAGAAGGAAAAAGAGGGAGGCGTGCTGGTGGAAAGGGTGTCTAGGGAGCTTTGGAAGAGAAAGTGGCGCACTCATCAGGACATTACCCAGCCTGCCTCACTCACTGAGGTGTCCTACAACTGAGATAAAAAAAATAAATCAAGATGAATTAAAAAAATCACTAGAACTCATTTTATTCTTTAAATTATTATTCCATTCATTTATACATGTGAGGAAATTTCATATTTTAGCACAAAGATGGAAAATGACGTATCTATCTATGCTAAATCTGTAGTGAAGACAATAAAATAAACTGTCATCTGGTAATTAATAGTATTTTCAAATGGCTTTCTGTTTTGCACAGGCAGGATTAAAGGCAGGTCTGTCAGACAATGTTGTGGAGGAAATTCTGACCCTCTCCATATCTCAGCCAATCAGAGACAAGCTGAAGAGTGTCACACAGGAAGCACTGAAGCATAAAGTCAGTGCCTTTTGCTTGCATCTCTGCACTCTCTGTCTTTCTCACCAAAATGTCTTTGTGTTAAAAAAATATCATAAAATGTCCTTACACATTTCTTCCCCATTTTTGCAGTGCTTTGATTTTCCATTTATTGTATGCCATGTGAATGGGAAGGCGAAGGTCTTCTTTGGTTCTGACAGATTTGAGCTCATGGCTTATTTCATTGGTAACTACAATTGACTAGGGATTTACAGTAGACTGATTCATTGATTGGTAATTAATTTGTTTGACTAACGTCATGACTAACGTTAATTTACACATTCTATTAACAAATTTATGTTTTCCTTTTTATTTTTAGAAAGACTACTCCAATTAATCATGATAAAAATGATTAACAAAACAATTATTTAAAAAGCATTTATCTATAGCGTAGGTTATTCATGATTTGTTATGTATTATTCTGTGATAATTTATGCCTACATCACTTTCCAGTCGCAGTCTATATTAGAACTGCAATAACCTGGATGTGGGAAAACTGACTGCAGATTTAAAATGTGAAAAACTGAAATCACGGACAACTGACATGCAGGGGTCCGGAGAAACGTGTTTATTAATACTCAGAGTTGAGGAACATATGCGTTAAGTTATTGTGTTACTGATAACTAAACTATCAAATTAAGCTACATATTTACTTTGTAGGTAGTGTGTTTGTTATTTATGCATAAAAAATTACACTTGTGAAATGAAAATTTATGTTCTAATATAGTCTAATAATTAATTTAAATATAGTTCTTTCTTGATATTTATTTGTTTGTTTACTTATTATCAAAATGATGGAAAGCATTCTAATTATTCCTCAGTGTTTCTTCACAGCAAAGATTTGTTAGAAAAATTGATTTGGTCATGTCTGTTTGATCACACATGCTATATCATGGGTTTATTTATGGCTTGTTAGCATTTTAACCATTTAAATCCTTATTGGTTGCCAGTGCTAACCATGATAATAATCAAAGAATTTGCCAAAATATACATACACACACACACACACACACACAGACAGACTCGCAGACATCAGTCTCAGAATGTGTTATGCATGTTATTTCTCACTGAATGTTGTAGTAACACAATTTGAGTAAAAAGAAAATGTTAAAGAACTTCGGGACACAATTTCATAAAAAAAAAACATCCATTTCCATGGTCATTTCATAATATCTCACATATTTTAAACAAAAAAGTATTATCCTTGACAATTTCAGACAACCTAGTTAAAATACCAAAACGAATGTGGTGTTTGTTGCATTCATTACTGAAACAGGTCAAAAGTAACTGATATGGCTATCATGGGAGCAATAATCATGTAATTAATTAAAGCGTTATAAAAGCATGCTTCTATAGATAAGATCATATATTATCAAGTTTCTTCTATTTTTAGGAAACCGGCCCCCTGGAATGGTCCCAAATAAGTTTAATTACATGACCACAGATCTGAAGCGGCTGTCTAAGTACTTTGGGGTCCATTTGTCTCCACCTTCAAATGTTTTTGAGGCAATGTTTGAGAAAGGTATTCAAACTGTTGTTTATTATGGCACTCATGATCAGATGCACAATGCAAGCCGTACATATGGATTTTTATGTCATATACAAAAAGAATGTTGGACTGTTTTTAAGAGCAATTTTTTTAATCACTTTCTGTCACAATCACTTTTATTCTCTTTCATCTTCCATCTTTCCATGTAGGCACATTGAATGCAATGCGTTTTGTGACAGCTGTAGCAGAGAAGAAAAAAGAGGGAGATGTGCTGGTGGAGGGGGTATCTAGAGAGCTCTGGAAAAGAATCTGGAGGACTGATCAGGATATTACCCAGCCTGTCTCACTCACTGAGGTATCCTACACCCAAGATGAGCTGTTTTTAAATGAAGAGGTGTCAGATACAGAACCTACATTGTAAAATTGCTAGTTAGAATTAATTTACATGTTCTATATTATGCCATATATACATGAAAAAATTTAATGATAACCTCTGTTGTACTTCACCACTGTATTAAAACAGACTTAAGAGAGTTTTGTTTTGCACAGGCAGGATTAAAGGCAGGTCTCTCACCCAATGAGGTGGAGGAAATTCTGACTCTCTCCAACTCTCAGCCAATCAAAGACAAACTGAAGAGTGTCACATGAAGAAACACTGGAGCATAAAGTCAGTGCACTTTGCTTGCGTCTTTGCACTCTTTGTCTTTGTTACCTGAATGTCATTGTGGTAGAAATGTAATATATATTCCTTACAGTGATTAAAAATATATTTAATTTTACTATTCATTGTCCAATTGTTGCCTTTCTTTTGTGTTACAGGGGAGAAGTGGGTGTGGCCTCAGCCTGCCAAACCCACAGCCAAAATGTGATCACTGCTCCTCTATACTTCTAAATAAAATTTAAAAAATGGTGTAAATTCACATTGCTCTTACAATATAAACATACTGAATACAAAACAGGGGTAAAAAAGCCATGGAGACTTGAAATTTATGTCTATATACAATTATGTCTATTATGTCAAAAGTTTTTTGTGCTCACCAAGGCTGCATTAATTTAATTAAAAATACTGTAAAAACTGTAATGTGGAATATTATTGCAATTTAAAATAAATTATTTTTTATTTTAATACATTAAAAAAAAAGCAATTTATTACTGTGATGGCAAAACTGAATTTTCAGCAGTGATTATTAGTCTTCAGTGTTACACTAAAGATTAATATTGTGTGATTGGATAATATCTCATAGTATCCAACATTGTCACTTCACACTCCAGTCTAGTAGGTGGCAGAAATAGACCATAAACTGATCTGACCATCGCAATTAAACAGAATCAGAAGAAGAACTAGATCCTGAAAGAGGAGTAGAGGACAACACCAAGGGTAAGTTCCATATATGCATGTAAATTACATTATTCCACTGTTTTAACTGGGAATACTGTAACCATGATGTAACCAAACGCAGCTGGTAAAGTCACAGCATGTTAGCCAGGATTCTCACTCTTTTATGAAATCCAGATTCAAGGACATTTACAGTTACCTTCCATTTCATATCAAGCACCTAAAGAAATCACATTCCAGTATACGTGTAATAAATTGCAGTTTCATATATTTATTTTTTTCATATGTTTCTACATTTAACTGCAAAGAACAGTTAAAAACTACCATTTTCTCTGACATATTTCAACAATTCTTTACTACTTTTCTATCTTTGCAATATGTATTTATACACATTTATGCAATATTCCTTTGAATCTGTGTAAGTATGGGTCTAAAGCTCCACTTTTCTTAGCATGTAATCATTTGTCTGAATTTGAGATCACACTATTGCAAACTACTCGTATAAATATATGACAGAAATAGCACAAGCAGCATATGTCATTCTGATTTCAGCCAAGGGGGCAGGTTTGGGACATGCCTACCCAGGATTTGCACCAGATTCTTTTATCAAAATAATCTGCTGTAAAAGCACTTATACTATTTCTGTGGGTCGAAGAAAGAAAATTTTCACATTTTTAACTGCATTTATAGCAGGACAGATTGAAAGACATACTCTGTAAATCTTTAGGTATGAAAGTTAATCTTTCTTAAAAAGATGTATTTTTGTTTTGGTAGATTACAACCAAAAGTGGCACGTTTATTATCATTTTCTGTCTAATTATGGGACAATATATGAAAAGACAAAATGGGCTAATAGAAACTTTTTTTGTTATTAAAGTAGAAAGGAAAAATAATATTGAGTTACTTCTTGATTTGAAACAATATTAAAGCAAAACACCTCTATGTGAAGCTTTCAAGTTATTTATATGATGATCTCATACCGTTTTTTTCTCCCTTTTCATCAAAGTGTTGTACTGTATTTTATATGAATGTGATCATTGTCATGTTAATTATAATCTGACAGTTTTTTAACCCTCTATGGTATAGTGTTGCCTCCAGGCAGCATATCCTATTTTAGTTGTTTTTTTTCCTAAAACAATGAGAGACCCATTTCATTGATAAATGCTATCTCGGAAGGAGAACTCATACTAATCAATTAAAATGCAAAAAAAGTGGTCACATGACCCACAGGGGTCCATTTTGTTTCCACTTTTAGGACGTGCACATGTAACATGACTCCATATTTTCTCCAATTAAAAGTGCATTTATCATCAATTTTCGGGCAAGTAAAGAAGTATACTTTTCAACAGGAATACAAAGTAACAAAGCATATACATAAAATCAAATGCGTACAAGAGCTGTAGGTCTTAAAGTGACAGCAGCCTGTCATGTCTCTCTCTACCAACAATACAGATCAACAATGTTGATGATTATAATCATTCAAGATGATCCTTCTCATCATGTTTCCTCCCCAATCAAATGCACTCTAGAATCTGAACCATCCCCTACATCGGAAAAATTAAATTATTCTCATGCTGACCTATTAATGTTGGTAAATGTTATAAATGATATGCTTCTTCATTACAGATGTTCAGCTCTGGAAAAGTGGTCGAGTTGTTCTATGATGTTGTTTCTCCTTATTCCTGGCTGGCATTTGAGGTGTATAATGTTTTTCGCCCTTAAAGTAGTTAATTGCAATACAGTCTGCTCAAGATGTTCTCATGTGTTGATTTTGTGTTTTAAGGTGTTGTGTCGCTATAGAAATGTTTGGAACATCGACCTCAAATTTAAACCGGCATATTTAACAGGAGTCATATACGGCTCAGGTAATGACATGATCACAAACAAAATAAAAATTCATGTCACATTAATGATGATCATAGCTTTTTAAATATTCCAGACAGTAAATGTATGTCTTATATAATTAAATGTATATTAAAATTTACTGGGAGCATTACTCTTGTTACAGCTGAAATATATTTTGTAAAATACACTTAGTATTTTTTTATAGGTGAAGTCAGAAACCCTTATCAAGTTTGTTCTTTTCCTAGGTAACCAGCCTGCTGGAATGAACCCAAGTAAGCTTACATACATAGTCTCAGATCTGACGCTGCTGTCTGAATATTTTGGAGTCCCTATGTTTCGACCTTCAGACCTTTCTGACAAAGGTATTCAACTTCAAGCCTGTTTCTACGGTGGCCGAGAGAGCTCAACGCGCTGCAACTTAAG